AAGAGTGCCGCCAAGACTGCTCTGACGGTCAGCGAAGAAGTCACTTGCAACATTTCTTCCTCCGCCGCAAAGGCAGCCGACAGAGGTCATCCAATGGAACCTGACGAATATCCTTTTGCGGGCTTGGGTTGGGAGCTTGGGTGCGACCTGCAGTTTTTGTGGGTGCGGGTGTGGCTAATGCCACGCGTTCGACAACCTCGATGACCCACTTGTTAGGGTTTGTAACGGCGTATGGCACGTGTGTGGATGACGTTCTCGTCGAACCATGTGCTGGAGTCGACGATGCTGTAACATCAATTTGGGATCTTACAGAGCTAGCTATATCCAATTTATTTATAGTTTTTGGCTGTAGTCGTCGGTGTTGCGCTCTACTCCTAAGTGTCGGGCCGACTGATTCACGTCGGTTGGCAGCGAGACGCGAAGGCCACTTCCACCAGTCGTTCATTTCGTTCTACCAGTTAAACGAGGCATAGCTTTTTACTCCCCGTTGTTTCAAATCTCTGCGAGAACAATCTCCTTTACTGCACCTTTCCATACAATCAAAGATCTTAGAAGTAACAAAACCACTCTTTCTTCGAACTTGTTGCTGGAGTCGACGTCGACCAAACTTCGTCTTCTTCAGATATATTCACAAGATTATACCTCATTCTAGAGAGGCTACCAGGACCTCGATTTACTTATCCTTATGTCGATATTGGCAGCAAGCCCATCCAAGAGAGCCCCATTGCTTCTAAGAGTTTGATGAAGGCCTTCACACAGGTGGGGAAGCTTGATGAGGTCCTCAGATTAGCTCAGGAGATGGAAGAATCAAACTGCAACCATCTACTATTATAATATTTTCATGAATGTTCTAGTGGAGTAAAACCAACTCGCTGAAGCTGAAGCTTTGTTCAAGGATATGATGTCTGATGGCGTTGCCTCAAATGTCTCCTCTAACAACATCTTGGTCAAGGATGGAAGAGTGGAGAATGCCAGAGGTTATCTGTATTGGATTTTGTAGAAAAAATATGATCTTGATGCTCATACCTACACACCCATACTGCAAGGTTATTGTTCTAACAGAAAGAGGAAATGAGTCTTGAGAAAGAGGAAATGAGTCTTGGATAACAACTGACTTCTGTTACCTACAATATACTTGTTGGGGCGTTATGCAAAGTTGAGAACTTTGGAGAAGTAGAAAAGATTATAGGAGAAAGTTTCTGAAAGTGTTGGAAGCCTAATGAGATCACTCTCAATATTTACATAAATACCACCCAATTAGTTTGTGCTTCCAGCAAGCCTCCCTCATCTGACCGCTGCTCCAGCCGACCACCTGCTCCCGACCGGTCATTTTCCTCTAGCCATCCGTTTGTATGCCTCTAGTCGACCATCATAAAAATCAGAGAAGATTTACATATATACCGCTCGGCGAGCGAATGAAAGGCTCCCCTTCGGGGCGAGTAAATCAATAACTCCACTTTGGGGCAAATCAAAGACTCCCCTCTGGGGCGAGCGAATCAAAGACTCCCCTCTGAGACGAGCAAATCAACAACTATTATCCAGAGCAAGCAAATCAAAGACTCATTTCCTGGGCGAGCGAATCAACAACTCCACTCTCCCTCCGGGGCGAGCGAAACAAGAAGCTTCTTTCGGGGCGAGCAAATCAAAGACTCCCCTTCCGTGAGAGCGAATCAAAGGTTGCCCTCCGGGAAGAGCGAATCAATGACTCCCCTACGGGGCAAGCGAATCACCCACTCCCCTCTGAGGCGAGCGAATCAACAATTCCCTTTTGGGGCGAGTTAATCAAAGACTCCCCCTTTAGGCAAGGAAATCAACCAGGACACTCCCAGCCGTGGCGGGCAAATTAAAGTCTCCCTTTCGAGGCGAGTAAATCAAAGACTCCCCTCTTGGGCGAGCTAATCAACTTCCCTCCGGGCGAGCAAATCAACTAATGTTAACATTCATCACTGAACAACTATTGCAAACAAATAGCCTTGTAGAAGAAAAATGTCAAAACAAAGATGAAGCCAATAAGACTGACCAAAAGTATGTTCAATCAGCCGAAGGACAATTAGTTGACCGACATTGCAGATTAAAATAGACCTGAAAAAGTCTTAGGAGAGCATTTTAGTGCTGAATGAAACTGGGGGCATGTAGAGACGTCGAAATCAAGGGGATGTAAGTATTACATTTGTGTTTTATGATATTTAAATTTTTTTATTCTTATCGCAGTTTCACTTACAAGAAGTAAGAGACTTGGGGGCATTTATGTACATTCGAAAAATGCTGACGGTAGCAAAGATCGGTCAGTTGCATTGACTAGCCACCTTACGCAGTGAACCCAACAATGAAAAGATGCAAGATATACAAAAAGGTGCTAGGCGTATGAGAAGGTGCCAATGAAGACAATAATGACTTATAACTCTCCGGAACATAATAATTTGAACTCTCAGGAGCATAATAACTTGTAACTTCCAGGGGCAATAATGTAATATTCTAGACCCCCTTATGATTTATAAATAGGAGGATATTTTTCATGTAAGTGGGGGCTAGGGAGGCATCATTTTCCCCTTACGTTGTAATCACATTTTTAGTGAAATAAAATGAGTCTGAGAGCCCTGGGAGCACCCTCACTTTCCCCCGCTGAGGGCAATCGCTATGTCACTTCTTTTTCTTCTATCTCTCTCTTGCTATTTTCTTCTTCCTTAGTCCCTATGTTCTATGCCTTGGGCACGATCAGCATAACAAATTTGGATCCAACAATATTCTTATTAAAAGTATTCTTCTGTTAGTACTTTCTCAATTTTCTTTTGATTTTCATCCATGAGCTTGTAAATAAGAACTGGTAAATAAATAAGCTCATCTCTGGAAATGGTTATTGCGCTATTGCTATTGCTATTTTCCAAGTTCAGCTTGCTAAGATAAGAAGGTTGGATTTAGGTTCATTGGTAGTTGTTATACTATGTCACCACCATAAAGATAACCTACTGCTCCATGAACGGTTGGAATAAGGCTTAGGCTGGTGATGATGATCAAGTTTCTCATCCTTGGAAATTTGAATCTGATTATGCTTTATTCCTACATTTGGATTTGTATTCATTATAATACTTGATTTGAAGATGGTGTTATGTCAGCTTCATAGTTCTTGCTAATCATTCCTTCAGCTTTTTACCGTTTTCTCCACATTTTGCTTTATTTTGATAGTACAATGGAAGTGGGAAATTGTTTTGCTTCCAACTTAACAATTGGATAAAAACTTAGGTTGGCACATTCATTCTTTTTTATTCTTGGGAAGATGATTGCCTTTCTTGTGACGAGCCGAAACTTTTCCTCCCTGCTTTATCTTGTTTGATTTTTACCCTTTATAGGGTTTTGTTATATTTATTTAGCTTCTGATTGTCCATGTATATCATGCCATCTAATATCTTTTCCTTTTCCCACTTCAGATTGAACTAGGTAAAAAATTTTTCAAAGATGGGAGGCCTTTTGATTTGGAAGGTGAGAACTTATTCAAGAAGCCTAATTTAGGAATGGCATAACTGATCATTTGCAAACCTTGCAACTTTGCATGTACAGAACTTGTTTTTTTACTTTTCTTAACACATTTATCCAGTATGAAATCTTTCTTTAATCAAGCTTAAGAGTGGCATGCTAAATAATCTTGATTCCTTCATGCATATTATTACAGACTTGCTGATTAATGCCAGAAATATAAGTATAGACGAAGGGAATAGTGGTCTTTTCACGTTTATGCATCTCTGTGCATGAGAATGACGATATCAAGTTAATTTTTTGCATAGACAGAGGGATCTCTTGTTTAATATATCATTTGTTAGCTTATTTATTTAGCTGAGGGATGTCATGTTTAATGAATTGTTTATGTACTTATTTTTTGTGGTATGAATGATTCAAGGTTCATGCTTTACATTCTGTGGCATTTCTATTTGCATTTGATTTTACTCATTAAACTTTTGTCATGTTACAACAGAGCTACTGTTTCTTTAATTCATTTTAATTACAATAGTAATGTTTGTTAGAGATGCTGTCACTATACATTATGTGGTAAAACATTGACACCAATTGTTTATTAACTGACAAACTAGTCGCATATTAAGTTTGACAGCCTTTGATAAATGTAGCCATCATTTACAAAATAGCAGTTTAATTAACCACCTGTATTGTTGATTTTTTCGGCCTCATTAACGAGATTAAATAGCCATCTATTTATCTAATCTATATAAATACTTGGAACTGAATCATGTTCACCATCACAGTGGCTGGATTGATCAGCTTTAACTAATTCTTTATGAAGGAGGTATAATGTAGATTAAAAGATTATTTTCCCCACAATCAGTTGGATTATACTGGGTAATATTTTGGTAACATTTGACGGCCATGGTCTTTTGCTAGCCCTGCATAGTTGGGATTAGGGCAATATTTTTTATTGTAATGATGATGAAACAAAGTTGGTCAATTAATCAGGCGAGCTCAATGAAGTGTTCTTTTATGTTTGTGTTAAAATATATTAAATGCGCTTCTTGAGCTTACCAAAATGTATGCTACAATAAATTTTGTGAGATATTATTTATGATATGCTTAATTATTTCTTTATCTCAAGTTTAGGAAACTCAGGTACTTTCATTTGTTGATATTATAAAATTATATATTGTTGAAAAGCAAAGAAAAATAACAAAGAAAAGTCCCTTCTCTCATCCCCATTAGATAGAAAAGTTGTATATTTATAGGAGATATATAGCCCAATTGGTGGCCCTAGGTTAGTAATTAATATAAGGAAAATTATGATCCTAATCACTTTGGAAAAAAAATGGAGAAAAGTTAAATTGGAAGTTTTTTAATACAAATCCAAAGGAGTTAAAATATATGATATCATTCCACTTCAAATGTTGATATGCGATCATAATATGAAAATCATCTCATTGATTTGAACATGTATGGGTAATTCCCTTAGCGAAATCTTCTATATAGCTGGACTTGGTGATGGTGGACAGCTGCTTGAATGATTTTTGAGCTGAGTTGTTTGTTGACAGCCAATTGGAAGATTTCAGGTCTTGTTGGGTGCTGCCTGTCATCTTGAAGATTGCAAAACTGGTTCTTAAATTGGAGTGCTGCCTGTCATATTCACTGTCTCTCTTCACCATATTCTGTCAAGTTGCCTTGAATCGAGCAGACTTTGCTTAAGCCAGACCCATGATATATTTGGATATATATTGGTTTTTGATTCGGTTAAAAAGTGACTCGTAAAAAGAATTAGAATGTAAATAACATATTATTTTTATTTCTTAAATATAAAAGAATTTTAGAAATTCACTACCCTGATATGTTATCACATCAAAGATGAGTGGTTTGATTGGTTATATAGGTTAGCCTTAGTCCAGCCTATAAATATAGGCACAGGGTTGCCATTTGAAAATTGCTAGATTATATCATCTTCGTCAGATTTACTCTACAATTTTAACATTGCTAAATTTTTGGTAAAGCGAGTAAGATGTTAGATAATCTTGTTAAACTCTTGCTAATCAAGAAATTTCATAAATCTTCCATTGAGTGAACCATCAATCGAGTTAGAGATTTCTTAAATTAAGTTGATTGTTAAGTTGACTTCTTGGACTGATCCATAAAAAAAATGAGTTAGTGATTCTTCATAAAGAAGCAATGATGACTCTTAAGTACAAACAAAAATGATTAATGACTCTTAAGACAGAATGCCTGTTCAAAATGACCTAGTAAATGAACTTGTGATTTCGTTTTTGCCCATTTTAAAAGATTTTATAATTATATGCGAAGTATCAAATATACTCTTTACTATTATATATGTTTGTTTCTCTATCTTAAAATAATTTATACTTGAATATATTCTCAAAAGCTATTAAATTGGACAATTATATTATTTAGCTGATCTTTGAGTCTATGAATGTTGAAAAAATAGTTTTCAGATACTTCTCTCAAGCCTTCTCGACCTTCCATCTTTTTATGTATGCTTAGGTAAGTTTCAGCTTGGATGAGCCTCAGCTGACGTTGAATCTTTGTCTTTGCGTGGGGAGCTATCTAGATTAATGGACTCTCTTTGTTCAATCGAAATCTTATCGAAAGGGGATATTTCAAACTCTAGGACTTGATTTTTTGTCCAATGGGCCTTAACTTACAGTGGAGCTTTTGTCTTTGGAAAGTTTGGATATTTGATTTTAGCTGACTTAGAGTTGAATCATAATTCATTTTATTTACTCCGAGTATTTTGTATTGTTGGGCTTTCAGTTGAGTATACTTATAAGACCATTAAGTTGAATTATTTTGTTAAAAAATTGAGTGCAAAAATGTGTTAATATGTAAAATGATATGGCTAGGCTCTGTATTCAAAGGATATGTAAAATTCTTGAATTTTGTCAAATTCAAAGTCTTAAATTTGGGCAGCTTCAAGTTGAAGCTTGAAAATACAACTTTAAATAGTTTTTAGCAAACTTAAGTATAAAGTAAATTTTTTTATTTTAAAAAAATGTCAAAATTTTTGGCCTACGTGGTTTATTTTGAATTCAATGGATACAATTAATATATATTTTTTTAATGACACTCAAGCTAAAGTTTAAGAATAAAAGGCGATTTTATTAAGCACTGATTTTTGGCCTACATGGGCCTCTTAGGTTACCTGCTGAGAGTTCTGTGTCATTTCATTATCTTTCAATAGGTTTATAACATAATTCTTTTACGAGAGAAACATTTAAAGTCTATTGGTTTATGGCTGATGGTGTTTCACAACCATGTTATGATCATTGAATCAATTTCTTCCCAAAGTAAAAACTTTGGATCTTTGGGCTCGAAAGTAGATCTGTAAGGTGTTGGATCTTTCTCTTTCTTTTTAGAAAGATTTTTATGATTTGGGATCATTTAAGGTATTTTGTCCCGTTTAAGGGATAAAACGTTTGAAATGCTTGGAGTTACCATTAATCATGAGAATGAGAATTCGATAAGAGAGATAAGGTTAAAAGTGAAAACCCTAACCTTAGCCAATAAATACAAATATTGGTAATGAAAACCCTAACCTTATGTAAATTATAATAAAGGTTGGAAGTGTAAACCCTAACTTTAGATAATAAAAACAAATATTAGAAAAAAAAATCCCAACCTTAGATAATAAAAATAAAGGCTAGAAAGAGCAGCATAAGAATAAAACTCTCAAGGGTCTTTACTTTTATTTGTATAAATGGGGAGATATATGTACATTTTTCATAGGCATTAGAAAATAAGAATAGAGCCAAAAAAGGAAGCAAAAATATTTGGGGCCATCGATCCTATAAAAAAATACACTAATTAAAATTTGAGCGTCATTGGGAAACATATCTAACTGTAAGGAGCCTCGATCCGCATGTCTTAAGTTATCTGCTATTCGAGGGTCATAAGTAAACAAATCCAACGATCTAAAGTCTTGATTTGTGTGACTTAAGTTCTTTGTCATGATTGGAGTAGAAATTTCATAGAAATAAGCTTCAAATATTTCAACACTTTAACTTGAAGTTGGTTTCCCCCCTCCCACTTTCTTTAAATCTTTTAGTAAAAAGGAAAAAGTAAAATTAAGTGATTAACGAGTTTGCCACATTCTTCGTGTTTCAATTTATCTTGTTGTTGAATGCTCGATTAGACAACTCTAATTTGTGGCCCAATTAAACTTTCCATGTGGCGATTTCAGTTGAACTCTTTTTTTGATGACTTTTATTGTTAGACTAGTTGAATTCTCCCTTAAACCACAGTCTTTGTACAATTTCAATGGTTTGACAAGCTGAACTCTATCTTGAATGACTTCAATTCTTAAATGGGTCGACTTAACCGTTTTATGATTTTAGTTCTTGGATGAGTTTGAACTTTTCATTGTATGATTTTAATTTTTGGTATTGTCAAGATTCATCAAGGGTGCTGAAATATTTGTCGAAGTTTGTGGAGGTTGCCTTTAATTTGAAGTAATTAAGTAATATATTTATTTTTTTAGTGTAAATTTTCTTTCCTACATTCCTTATTTCATTTTTGATTCAATAGAACATGATATTTTTTTAGATTTCATTTTCTATAGTGTTTGATAAGTTCGTAACTTTCCATGTTCTCGTGTTTTAGTAATATAGATTTTGGATTTTTTTTTGTGGAATATTGGCTACACCAGGTAATCTTTAGTTTCTGAATTTTGGTTCTTTTTGTGGTTGGAAAGCAACACCAGTGAGATAATCTCTATGCCTCTTTTTCCTAATAAACATCATAACCAATTACGCTCATTGGAGGTAAGTTTACTAGTTCAATTTGTAGCCAATCACTGGTAGTCTGGTAAGTTATTTGAATATTGGTTTATTGTTGTAGGCGGCATCAGAGAAACAGCTTTTATCAAAGGCAATTTTGTGTTTAATCATTATGTTAGTTAAATCAAATAAAGAAAAAGTGAGAGTATTTGGACTTACTAACCAGAATTTGAAGTCTGAGAAGAATGTATTTGATTTTATGTAGAAAAACAAGTAAGTACTTTTTTATTAGGAGACTATGCTATAGATTTTATGGGGGACAACCCCATGGTGGCCTTAGTTTAGATAGCAATATAAACAGAGGTCCTCATTGGTTCTTTAGAAAAATCCAGATATGGCAAAGCCTTCAAGGAAAAAGATTTTGACCACAAACCCAAGGATTTAAATATTTGATTCATTTCCCTTCACCTGGAAATAACTGATCGTCTTTATTTGAGAAATCAAGATCCCATTGACTTGAAAATGCGTGAGAGCCTTAATTTAAAATTCTTTAAAACTGGACTTTGTTTGCGGCGTACAACTGTTATAGAGATTTATGAACTGAATTTATTTTTGACAGCTGCTATACAAAATTTTGAAGCTTTTCTAATTAGAGCGGCTGAAATATGCTAATAAGTAGATAGATTGTAAATTTTCATTCCTTCTCTTCTAGTTTGTTTGATTTGTTTAGGATCTCTTGAAACCCTCTTGAACGTTCAAGTTGTTTCTATTTTGAATCATTTTTTTCCTCTAGCTTCAAGTTAGTTATAACAGTGTAGGGCTATAGTCGCTTTATGTTGTTGCTTTGATGTGATGAGAGTTCAGCATTCTTAGATTCTTTTCTCATCCATGCTTGAAAAAGGGAGTTTGCCTTCTGTATGGTAAAATATTGGCTTTATCAGCAGATCCAGTTTGCTCTATCCATTATTGCAAACTTTATCTTGTAGGTCTCAAAGAATGCATGCGTAATGGATATTCATATGTGGATGGAATCGAAGAACTGCTACATGCTTTGAAACAAAACAGCTATGAATTGCATGCCTTCACGAATTATCCTGTCTGGTTAGTTTTACGATTTTATTAACTTGGTTAGCATAAGAAAAATATCTCATCTTTGAGTTTTTATTGTTATTTTATTCTTTGCAGGTTCCAGATGATTGAGGAGAAGCTAGAACTTTCAAAATATTTATCTTGGACGTTTTCTTCTTGTCTGATAGGTACTTTTTGCTTCAGAAAATATTCTTCCTCTTGACAATAATATGACTTTGGAAATGCTTCTATGTATTTTGTCCTGATATTTATTCATATAATAGTAGTCCATCAAATGCAGTGTGTTTGATTATATGATACCTTGCTTAAAAAATCAATTGTTATCTAAAATAATTAATAGTGATTGTGATTTTCTTTTTGGCATTTGTTTTCTCTTTGATATTGTTTTCTTGCATATTTAAGGAAAAAGGAAGCCTGCACCCGATTCATATGCTGAGGTTGTACATCTCCTGAAAGTTGAGCCTAGAAGCTGTATCTTCATTGACGACAGGTTCTTGTCTTCTATAATTACGCTGCCTTTTTCATTTTTTTTTTTGATGAGTCTGTTTTGATTGTTCATCAGAACCAAAAGCTTAAGACTTATTCTGTTCTTCGTTTTGTTTAGTATTGAACTTTCTGGCTATTTTGTGATGATTTATGTCCATGGTAATTGTAGCTTTGACAGGAATGATAGTTTACATTGAAAGTTCACCTTTAGAAGAAAAATGATTGCAAGGAAATGGAAAACCCAAATGGTGTTGATAAACAAGAACGCTGCTGACTAGCCTTTCCAAAAAGATAGAAAGAGTTGATTTGTGCTATCATGAGATCAAAATTAAATTCTCATCAGAGGAGATAACAACGGCATATTTAGCGAGGCTTCCTGCTAATGCAACTTCACGCTTCCCTCACAAAAAAATTCTTTTTGTGAGAATCAACATGCGAATCAAACTTGAGGCATCCATATCACAATAAAGATTTCCTAATCATTGATTTTGATCCATCCCATCTTCTCACGATAAGAGGATTAAAAAATCAAATATAGAACAATCATTTTGTTGTTGCTCTACAATAAAAAGTTATCAAAACACATTTATCTAATTTTATTTCTATGGTAGAACTTTTATCACTTTTTTTCGAGTTTACGAACTATCTATGAGTTTCCTGTGACTTATTTGAATATCTTTCTTGCTCCAGGGTGACTTGGAGGCATCTGTAAATGCAGACATGGTAGGTGTACATTTTAAAAATGCTGAATCTTTAAAGCAGGATTTGTCTTTACTGGGAGTTCAACTTGAAGTTATAAGCAATAGTTGATGGACGGAATTCAAAGGTTCTTTCTCCAATCTTGTCTTATTTGTTTTTGTAATCCTTCCGTTATTCTAAATAAATTTCAGATGTTATCTCTCCAACTCATCAATGTGAAAGCTTGTAAATTTTATCAACTTAGCATTGTTAATATTGTGTTCGTTGGTTTTTGTGGAGTGATGCTACTCTCCAAATACAAATAAATTTTCCTTTAAAATATTGCTTTTTCTTGTCATGTCCACATAGTTTGTGTCTTAATAAAAACTATTGATGTCATGTCCCGATTAACTTTAACACCTGAATCAAGAAAGCACATTTAAATTTCTAATTTAGTTTGGGTGCAAACATTACTCTTATTCTTTATTTGATATGCATATAGAAGTTTCAGTTGGCGAGCAGCTGAAGCTTCAGGTGTTTTGGTCTTGAAGCATTCTTTTATGAAGATAAGTTTATTAAGTTATGGATGCAGACACTGATTCTTGTAATAGGAAATAAGATGAATAAATAAGCCCTACGTATCTCTTGATGTTTTTTAAATTATATTTGATTGAGTTAATTTTTTTTAAAGAACACTCAAAGCATCTCTTGAGGTATTTTGAGCATTTTAAAAACAAATAAGCTTTAAGTTTTATATGATTTAGCTTAACAAAGTACTCTCTTTTTAGTCAACTTGGGGGGTGAATCGTCCACAAATATTAGAAGAGAATTGTATCCTCACCTTTCTTATAGGCGCGGGCATCACTTCTAAGGTCTTTTAAAGAGATATGGCAATAATATAGTTCACAAAGTTTTTTTTTAATACCAAAAGAACAATTTTACTAGATATTCTTAATGCATAAATACATAAGATTGAGAACCAAAGGTAAAAACGAAGTATGTCAAACATGGAAGCTTTTTATTTATCAGGTTTTTGTTTGGTGGTTGAATTTCTTGCAATAGGATAACTAGGATTGTTTTCTTCCAATACCTAATGATATGCATATTATAGATTGATTTAACTTTGAGTGTCACATTGGAATATGCAAGCCTAAAAATGGAATCATTCATATAAATTGTAATGATAGATACTAACAAATAAGGCAAGAAAAACATTGAATAGAAAATTTTGAAGCTCATTGGTGGCACATATTAAGCGATTTACGACTAATTAATTTGAATAAAGTTCTTAAACTATCAATATTTTACAAAGTTACATAATTTTGCGAACTTCGTGATCTTTGCAGAGGCTCGAACTTTTATTGTTAATGATTTTTGTACCATATAATTGCAAGCAATAAAATTTCAACACTTCAAAACCATTTTTAGGACAAATAAATATGTACAGATTTTTGTTATTAGAAAATTTAACTTCCTTGCCAGCTTTCTTTGATTTACAATGCATATTCCACTTTCATATTAGGAATAAATGATAATTTCATTTAAAATATTGAACTTTGCATGCCCCATTATTGGCCATGCTGGCTTTTCATGTGTATATGAACAAATCTCAAGTAAATATTAGACTATATTTTAAATATGTTTATTATACCAATTTACAGTTTTATAATCTCCCCTTTTTAGGGATGCAAAATGTTCTTTGGAAAATTGCTTAATAAAAGGATAAAAGTTAGCATATTACCCCCTCAAGATATAACATGTAAATTAAATTTTTCAAAAAAGAAATATAAAAAAAATAAAAACAAGAAACAAATATAAATAATTAAAAATATAATTTTATATTCTAATGACTAAAAATAGTAGCAATAATAAATAAATTTCATTAAGTTTCTTAACATCAGATCCAGAAATTCCTGAACCTAATTGCATGCAGCCTCACCATGATGGACAAATGATGACATTGATCATTGGGGAAGTTATTGCGACTTTTATCAAGGCGTCTGGAAGTTGAAATGAACTTAGTAGCATGACTTTGGTTGAGACCATGAGACCTACTTTATGAAGGATATTTTTACCGAGAAACATATACAATGACAAAAAGTGGCAAAAAGGGCTCATGTCACATCACAGATAGTTTTACTATGAACATATAAGAAGAGAAAATTGCATGTCTTTTATTATAATTAACCTCCATTTGTGGGATGGAATGCCTTAGTTTATTTTGGATTTAATAGGCTTCTATGGAAAATATATAGCGAGTGGCATTGTAATTAGGTTCAGGAATTTAATGTAATGTGGTGTTATCTTTTGTCCACTCAAATGGGTGATGAAGCTTTCCAATGGCCCATTGCTTAGGCCATAATTTGGAGGATTAGAGTTCTAGGTGTCAAGTAAGCCTTGTTTGCCTCCGTTTTTGTTGTGTTCAAATGAGATACTTTTATATTTCCCCCTTTAAGTAGTAACTTTATTAAAAAGTTTTCATCAAGAAAGAGCGAGAGAGAGGTGGGAAGTAGAAGAAATGACTGCAACATAAAAAAAAAAGGATTTGAGAGATATCAATAAGGTCTTTGTAAGGTCAATAAGAACAAAAGTCTTTAGAAAATCATACTTTCTCACTTTTCTTAAACCTTAAAATCATACTTTCTCACTTTTCTTAAACCTCAAAAAAGACATATGAATACTTCTGACTTATAACCATATACTCAAATGTATTTCTGTTATGTGTACATGCTCACTTCCAAGGGAATGTATTCTATTTGTTTAATGACAGCTTGAGAAGATTGAAGTTCTAGGTGTCAGTTAAGCCTCATTTGTCTCCACTTTTATTTTGTTCAAATGTGATACTTTTATAATTCTCCCTTTAAATAGTAACTTTTTTAAATAATTTTCATCAAGAAAGAGCGAGAGCGAAGTGAGAAGTAGAAGAAATGACACCCACATAAAAAAGAAAGATGTGAGAGATATCAATAAGAAGATCTTTGTAAGGTAAATAAGAATAAAAGTCCTTAGAGAATCACACTTTCTCACTTTTTTAAACCTCAAAAAAGACATTTGAATACTCCCAACTTATAACCATATACTCAAATGTATTTCTGTTATATGTACATGCTCATTTCTAGGAGAATGTATTCTTTTTATTTAATCACATCTTGAGGTATACCCAATAATATTTTTTATTAAAAAAACATTTACTGTGTTTTAAAGTAAAAAAAAAGGATATTAAAGACGAAGGAGACCATTTCAATTGGATTCACCTTTTGCATCAAAGATTGACTAGACCAAATGATAGAGGGTTAGTTACCATGTCCCAATGAGCAATAGCCTATCAACAAACAAAGACCTATGAAATAACATCAACAAATTTTTTGAATCAAAAGTGGAAAAAATTACATATCAAACAACAGGTAAGGAAATATTAGACCAGTGGATTTGGTTGAGTTAAGATTTCATGGATCCATTTTTCTAGGTCGTTAGTCCTTAAGTATATTTAGCCACAAACGTAGTCAACTCGACTTAGCTTAGAGTTTTATGTTAGCAATCCATGAGTTGCTTCACTTAAGGGGACTCTATAGACTCTAGGCCAAAGAAATATTCCAACTTAGAATCCTAAGACTTATCCAGGTACTACAAGGTTTAAAATGTGTTTTACTCTCATTATAAAGATGATATGATGCCCATATGAAAGGAAGGAAAATGTATTTCAATCACAATGGCATTGGCTTGCAATCCTATTTTGGCTAGGATAACCTTTAAATGTCCTAAGAATTATAATTAACAACTTAATCGATATAAATCGTATAACTAGTTAGGTAGTGAAAACAATAATATTTCATGATAGACATACAAATGACCCAAATACTATATTTCATTGATATGAAGACTATTAATTATTTAGGGATTAAGCTATAATAACATAAGTATAATTTAGCCATGGTTTAATGCTATCATAGGTATGAAAATCCTTAAAGACATTATGTGGATTTATAATTGTAATAGAACTTTTAAATTCTAAATATTAACATTTTTCATTTTGCAAATTTAGTTGTAGGCCATGCTCATGAAAAGGAAGATTTTATTATGAAAAAATAGTTAAGTTTAGCCAAAATTCTATTTAAGATGGTTGAAAAATTCATTAGATTTTAAGTAGAAAACTTTATTTTTTGCCCTAAAAGCCTACTTATATGTGTGAACCCAGATAAAACATAATCCATTATAAAGTACACAAAATAGCACATGTGCCCATTTAAAATAAATACATAAATATGAGAGAATAATAAAGAGCCCGGGTACTCCTAGGTCAACAACATATCTCAAGAAGGCAAAATGGTAGTTAGGGTCCACATATACAAATTGTTTCTATATCCATACAATAAGGGATAATCTAAAATTAACTTATAAGGCACGAACAATTAGCACTTGATCATCATCTAAGATTGATTCTGGTCTCCCACTTTGAGGAACCCATGCATAGATCTTATTTATAATACATACTTTATCCCAAATTCTAAAAATGCATGATGAAATCTAAAACTTATAGGATTAATTACATATAAAACATAAATTAGCATGCATGTATGCAAAACATGCAAACTTAAAATGAGTTATGTTCAGTTCGGGAATTATTTAGCTAGCACCTACAAAAGATAAGATCATGACACTTTTTTTAAGGCTTTTCCTTTGGTGAAATTGATCATAATGTAGCATAACTTAGGTTTTTCTCACATCTGTAGAAAATCTACAATTGAGCTACTAAATTCACTAAAACCATTTGCAAACATGATCTAAAATGCACCCAAAATGGCAACAAACAAGAGAAATGATACATTTGATATTTGAATTTAAAGATATAGTCTATTTTAACACATTATCAAATGCACCGCACTAAGTGTTTAAAAGGCAAATGGTGTGCAAGTTAAACATCATATATTAAACATCTTAATAAATAATTTTCTTGCAAGTCAAAGTATAACTATCTAAACAATTAAGCATATATCAATGTACAAAATAAACATAAAATGGTTTAACAACATTGGTCATATAAAATCACTAATTCAAAGGAAGATACTACCATATAGATAAAGATAATTTTAAAATATGGGTTTGAAACATTAAACCATGTTTTTACATGATATGAAAAAAAAATACAAACATATGTAAATAACTCACATACTAATGTACACTAATGAAACACAACCAATGTGCCAAACTAGACGAATTAGATTAAGAAAAAACTATCCAAATATGAAGATAAAAACAAGGAGATGGGAAAATAATAGCACACAATATGGAATGATCTATGTGTAATTATGTAGGCTTATAACATCACACAAAACACACACTTATGTAAACCTATGTACTAA